TATATATATATAACGTGTGTATATGTGCGTATGTGTGTTTATACAGATATTCTGACTTTGGCTGGAAGTGTCCACGAATTGACGAGGGCATCGCGGTACGCGCGGACCGGTATGTATAACGCGCTTCAGGCTACACTACTCTATGACTTGGATATAGAGAAGAAAGTCATCGAGACCCCCAAGGATCCGGTTCTTGAGACAAAAGTTCATAGTGAAAGTCAAACAAAAGACGGGACCGACGATTATACAAGCAATACCTAGCAAATCTGCGCTGATTTCACTCGGTATCGCTCATCTTGAAGTACTAAATCGAGTCCAGCAGCTTTTTATTTACGTATAGTATTACGTTTTTGAAAAGCTTTTGCTGGTGTTTACGATTATTTTACTGTTGAAACAAAATGCCGCCCATTACATTCAAGACTTTTATTCACGATACACGAACGATAACATTCACGCGCGAATGAACTAAGAGTGAAACGGAATTTTAGGAATGCATGCAACCTTTTGCAGGTATCGATAACTCCATAGTTTTCTACGTATTTTAATGCTTATGACTGTATAACCGACTTATTGGCTTCTCGAGGACACCGATTTAGATGCAAGAATTTCGCTAAACTGCCCTTTACCCTTTATCGGTTTATCTCTATCGCGTGTAAAAAAAATATCGCTTTTTATTCGATACCAAACAAATCGGAAATAAACCGAAAGCAGTATCAATCATGTTTAAATCGTTGACAACACGAATGAGATTGCTCAGATGTATATTACATCGTTTAGGAGTAGATATTATTAAAAAAGTCGTCTCTTCGTACAATTATTTATTATATGCGTATCTTAAGTTAAATAGACAGATGATTAGGCAGAAAACGCCGATGTATTTGTTCAAAATGTTCGGCAGCAACTTGTTAGATTAGCTCAATGTGGCCTTCCTTGAATGTGTGACCTATAATGTGTGTGGTAGTAGATGTTTCAAGATTTAAGAATAATTCATGAAGTGTAAGTGCGATTATAATCGTACACACTACACAAGCCATATATTATATTATATATTAAAATGTTGTTTACATGGTAGAGTAAAAAGCCAGACTTTTCCATTATATTGACATTGTTCCCTTCGATGTATTTTCATTCCTATGAATACATAGAAGGATATATACGTTCCTTTCGATACGCATATGTGCGAAATAAAACCATCTATATTACAAGTATACGCACAACGAGAGCCACATTCATACATAGACATTTAAAAAACCATCTGCACAGTATATGTATGTATGTACATACATAAATATGTATATGTATACATATATAAGCATATTCTTAATGTCGATGCTATTGCTGTTCCTTTCGCTTCACGAATCACTTATTGTTATTTATTCTGTATTGTACAATGTAAAAGAAGAAAGAATACACGCGCACAAATGTAATACTGTCGCGAACGGAACAACAAATATCACGATGAGATTGCGAGTAATACGCGAGTAATCGTGTATTAACAGATTTGTAATTAAAGAGTTTCTTTAATTTAATCTAATTTAATTGACATTTAATATATATATATATATATATATCTTTATTTACTTATATTAGAAAATAACTGAGATAAATCTCTCATCTTACTACGTGTTTTTCTTTCGCGTATTGAAAACTGTGAAGAATTTATACGAAGAATTTCTCAACACAAATTACTTTAAATCCATTTTTCAAGAATATGGGTCTAGGATCTCATTTACGAATATCTATTCAATTATATTTCTTGCGATTCTAAATTTTTTACTCCTTGATTTATATAAGATCCGTATATATGTGCGATTATTCACGTATCTTTTATTATTATTTTTTTTTTTTTTTCGGAAAGAACACAAAGCCTCGCGCATTACAAGAAAAATGTGCGTATACGTACGTTATGAACCTCCTAAAACATATAATAAAGTTTATTATAATGCGGTATCGCCGTAAGATTTGGAAATACAACATAGATATGTATCTGACAATCCCATTTAAGCCGCATGCGATATTACGTACTATTGCAAATTTATGCGCGCACACACGCACAAACAGATACGCACGCGCATATATCAATATTTAGAAATTAGAATGATCAAACGTATTCGGTGGTTCTACAAAATAGAAACAAGATAATTTAGTACGATCGACCGAGATTTGGAAGCAAATTGAAATTGAAAGATTTGTAGCAAGAGTGGAATAAGTCTTTCTCTCTCTTTCTCTCTCTCTCTCTCTCTCTCTCTCTCTCTCTCTCTCCCGAGTCTTCCAATCACCTCGTCGATTCGCACCACTCGGCATCTGCGGCCGACTCGCGCGTCCACAGTATGCAATATTTTGAAATCTCTCTCTCTCTTTCTCTCTCTCTCTCTCTCTCTCTCTCTCTCTCTCTCTCTCTCTCTCTCTCTCTCTCTCTTTCTCTTTCTGTAACTTCTAATTGATTAATTTACCGTCCATTTCAAATAAAACTTACAAATAATAGACTTTGCCTTCTTCTCGAAGCCCTTTAATCGATATTTAATGATTCAATAATCATTTCGCGATAAATTCAATTTTCGATGCTGTTTGAACATCGTGAAATTACATGTAGTTATGTGCGTATGTAATAGTTAAAAAGTAAATATAGAGATTATTTTGAGATGGATAGAGAAATCATAATCTCAACTTATGCAAAATTACATCGGTTTTAACAAATTCACTGCCAAATTTAATCTTGGTCGATTTGATAATTAGTATTTAAATTATTAGCACGTCGACACTTGTAATTTCCTCCAACACTTGAATATTGTCGCACATTCAAATATCAGTGAAAATTTTAATTCTCATTTTTTTACGACATTCAGCGTTGATTAAAAAATGTATAGATTCGGAGTTTCGTAATACTATCGATGAATTATTACTTTTTAATGTAGGAGATTAATGAAGGAAACTTTTTTTCACATCTTTGTAATGACGTTGTGAAAAACGACATACCGAGCCATAGATAAAATCTATTCTTCCTTATACTCTACTGAACCGCCAGAATAATGATATTGGTTATTCTTGTTTCAAATAATAAACTTCGATATATTGTATGTACATGTATACAGACATGTATATAGATTGCTGTCTTGGACCGACGGCATTTTCATCTTTTGCGAAAAGGATTATTTTTATTAAACAAATTTTTATAGACTAAAATGGACATTGGCTGCTCTCAATACATCTTTTTATTTACGAAATAGTTCTTTTAATCTCATTTTTAAAAAAACTCTACTTGAAGTGTTTCTATTATATTTGAAACTTTATATTTTGCACTCTTAAGACAAAGTCACTCTGATTCGAGATTTTTACTATTTAATACATATATAGAGAACCAACAAATTTTTTTTTTTTTTACAATAATTCCATATTGAAACATTACTAAATTCTGAAGAGTTTATAAATGTGGTTTTAGAATTGTTTATCAACATATCAGTAAAAGAAAATGCTGTTTGTTAAAGATAGTTTATTATAGGCGTACGCGCGTATGCGTATGTTGTGTGTGTGTGTGTGGGTGTGTATGTTTATATATGTGCTCTCGTCGCAATAAAACAATATGAGTGCGCCGCATATACATATAGTATATGTGTGTAAAGAAAATGGTTTTTTGTAACAATATAACCGAGAATGGCAGAAACTGACCAATTTTAAAATATAAAACTATTAAGCTGTCATTACTATACATATACATGTATTGTAAAACAAATGACATATGTGTATAGACCAAGCATTTGCGTATTAAATCTTTGCTGTAGCGGCATATTAATAGTCTAAGTTTGAGAGAAAGACAATTAATTTCTCTTAGTGTCTTCCTCTCGATATTATAATGACAATTTTTTGCTATACGACATTGTAAAAAATGCTTAGAGAAACAAACTGTTTTTCTCTCAATTTTAAACTATAAACTTTTGTCATCAATCGGATGGATTGCTTGGTTATATGTATGTATGTATAATGTACACACACACACACACACACACACACTTAAAACGAAGCTCTTGATGCCATTCCTCGATGAGCACTCGTGATAACAATCGTATCAATAATATGGTATCAAAATTCATATCTCTCGTCTTAGCAAAATCGCGATCTCGTCCGCTATTAAATATCGTGAAAGTATTCCTAAAGGGCTTACAATTAATATTTAATATTTAATCGATGGTTGAGAATGCGTTGAAATGGATGAAATTTAAATTACAATCGGAATTACGTAGCCGAAACTGTCAACGCGCATAGTTGATTCATAATTGGTTTTCTAGTTATTTTTCTCGAAAGTGTGTTTGTGTCTCTTACTTAGAGAGACTCATCGTCGCGCGAACATTATTTACGAAAGATGCAGTGTACATACATAATTTGTTACTTGCGACTTAAGTTTATAAGTTATCCGTACATTAACAGTTATTGATTGACGCGACCACTTTATTATATGCTAAAGTGGCAAAAGCTTTTGTAAACGATTAGTATTTATGAACACTGAGATACGTTAACTAATATTTTAAAAAGTTTAACAAGTTTGTTATATTTTTCATTTTTTTATTGGGTCAAACCTAGTTCAACTTTTACGTATGCGTTGTGTAAAACTTTATAGTTTGAGTTTTAATTATAGTTATTTAATGTTTTTTACTCGTTCAATTGTTCCTAAAGAATACATATGAAGAAATTTTATATTAAATTAGTATACACGCATTCTCTCTCTTGACTAGTCGAGTATACGTATAGAGTATCAAAGTTCTTTTTGATTTACACAATTTATGTATATCATACTTGTTTATTTTTTTTCTAATAGTTAAATAACATTGCTGCTTCAGCAATATTTAAATCGCTTAAATAACTTTTAAATAGAAAAAAACTGTAGGACCTCGTGTTATACATTATAAATGTACGATATTCCAATGTGTTTTACTATAGGTTATTTATTATATAAATTTATTATTTGTTTTTTAGTATAATTAATGTTTTTAATGTATTTTCTCAAATCTCTGCATTGACATTGCAGTGCTAGGATTTAGTAACAGATAGAGACGAGCGTAAATAAATATTTCAAGGAGCTTTTGTTTTATCGAAATGACGAGAATAATTAGTACCATTTCGAAATAGCGGTTATTGTTTGCGTATAGTATCATGTATTGATTTTGCGCGTAGTATATAATATATTTATCATAGAGAGAGAGAGAGAGAGAGAGAGAGAGAGAGAGAGAATAAAGACGGAGAAAAAAGAATATCGCGGGTAATAATATGTGAAATGAAACTAACTATGAAATGAAAGTTGAGACTTAATGCTAAATGTATATGTGTATGTTAAGCGTACGCCCCACTTTTTGTCAACCGTATTATCTCTTGTAGCGACTGCTTTGGCCAATATGGAGACAAATTTTTCTTCGTAAAAATATTGAAAGAGATAATTTTTCTCACTTTTTAATTTTCAATATGGTGTCTTTATAATCAAATTTTAAAGTAAATTTCTGCTTAAACGAACCAAAGAACACAATTTGGTCTCAAGCGCACACACATTTAATATATATGGATTTTTATTCTATTCCAGGAAACAGTTTAAAGAAAAAAAATTATCTTCATATATATATATA